AAATGACATTTCTTAATTTACCGTAACATAAATTAAATTACGATGGCCTTAACATAAGCTCGTCTCAACACTATGCGATTTACACGACAGCTCCGTCACTGCATACGTGTCGCTCTCGAGACCGCGTGACCCCACTCCTGACTCTGTCACTGTGTGCATGTCGCTCTCGCGAACGCATGACCCAGGGACCGTGCTCGGAGTGTTAAAGGGGCACTACCTCTGCTCTACGACTAGTTCTCGAAGGAAGTTGGATATCCACTCCCTCTCGATCACCTCCTGTGAAGAAATTCCGTTCCAGCTCGGAGGAATCAGCTTGGAAATACACGGTACCTTCACTTCTACATCTTTTCACATATTTTTTCCTATACCCCATTGGAAGACTCCCATCCAGCTTGGATTGTCCAGTTTGGGTTAAACGTGGGAGCTCCAGACTTTCCTTCTACCATCTCGCACGTTGGTACCGAGCGTACCGTGTCAACCACATCCTGACCAACGTCCTGCTGGAACTACGTCTCTCGGTTGTGAAGCGTCTTTACTCTGGTTTTGATGAGCGGAGGGTCTTCTGAAGAGACGGTGCGTTACAATATAAATAAAACAACTAGAAACAAAAAAACAGCGTCATCGAATTCCAATGTCCAGTTTCTGAGCTTAAGTGACAAGCAGGACCAGTTCACCAATCTGGCGGCGCAGAAGACACTGAAAGGTTACTCGATCAAGAACGTGGACACTTTGGTTGAGGTAAACCAAAACCCAAGCTGGTGTTTCCTGTTTCTTGTTGGTACGAATGCCAACGAAATGTAAAGTTATGCGCGGTAGGGTTGATTCTTCGCTTTCCAGCCAGAGAAATAATTTCTTTATTATGTTATCTTGGAAATTTCTGGATCTTGAACTTACCTATTAATAAGCCGCAATCTGGGTTCGTTAGCGCTCTACTCCCATACGGGCCCGTTTACTGGAATCCTTTCCTTTTATGCTACTTAATTTAACTAATTTGCAGCAAGGTGAATATTGGAATATTTGAAATCAAAGCTACTCAAATTAATATTCAAACATAAAATTTATATTCTAATTTTTTCGTTTAAAGATACAATTTGCGATTTAAGATCGCCTCCAGTGAAAGTAATATCCCACAGTCAGACGACTACTGGAGGTTACTATTGTCGAATTCGTACAAATACATATAGAAAATGAGGAGAAGAGGAATACAATAGAATCAACTCACCAAAACAGTTACATAAATTTTCTGAATCTTTTTTATTGGAATTTTCACACCAGTTCTTTCTCTGTATTTCTTAAACCTCGGGTGGAGAGAACACACATACACTTTAATCTCATGCACTAGCAATAAACGAGAACTATGGAATAAATTATGAAATATGGAGTCGAATAAAAGAAATAATAAAAATGAATAGTAGATATGAAGAATTAAAATGAAGGTAAAATATAATTGTGGCTCCGTAAAGTTAAGTGCAACAAAACTGGCCATAAAGCTAATGAATGTAATAGTAGAAATCCAGGTCAGAATGAACGCAGCAGCAGCTACCATGGTCACAAGAAGTACTCGTTACAATGTTTCACTACACGAGAGAAGGCCTATAATTTACCACAAGGTAAGATCTGAAATTCTAATTACTTATATTACACCACATTGACAGTGGTTGCAGTTCACATTTACGCAACGATGCAAAGCGTTTTGTCCAGGTGATGACATCTGTACAGCAGAAAGTAAATGTTACTCAAAAGGAAATGTTCCACTGATTCATCCTGACAGCCGTAAAGAAAACAACATCAAGTTAAAGGATGTACTTTTGGTGCCTGAACTAAAAACAAATTTATTATCCGTAGGATACATTACAGATAAAGGGCACGCTGTGTTATTTGAGCGAGAGAGTGCAAAGGTTGTTGATTCAAGTGAAAGAAACCTGTACTACGTTAAGGAAGGTCCAGTTGAGGCGGTCAATATGGTTGAGTCCACTACATATAAAATCATGGAAAAATGGCATTGCAGATTAGGACACTTGAATCCTAAAACTATGCATGAGATGTTAAGGAATAATATGGTTAAAGGTATGGATGCAATTCCTTCCGTAACTGACTTACAGTGTGAAGCATGTGCTCTTGGGAAGATGGCTCGTTCTTCTTTTCCATAAACGATAAATGGAACTACTGAGAAATTAGGAATAATCCATGCAGATTTGTGTGGACCAATGCGTGTGGAGTCCCTAGGAGGATCACGATATTTCTTAACATTTATTGATGATAGCACTAAATGGTGTGAAGTTTATTTCATCAAACAGAAATCTAAGGTGTTTCAGAAGTTTAAGTAATACAAGGTTATGGTGTAAAATCTAACTGGATACAAAATGAAACATCTTCAATCGGATAATTGTACAGAATACATTAACAAGGAATTGGATGCTTTTCTCGTACGCAATGGGATCAGAAGAAGATTAACAATCCCACACACTGCACAACAAACTGGAATCGCGGAAAGGAAGAACCGCACGTTGGTGGAAGCGAGCAGGTGTTTAATATTTCAATCAAGTCTGCCGTGCAGAAGCCGTGCTGACGTCTAATTATGTGAGAAATAGATGTTCTACAAGTGCACTGAAGAGCAAAACACCTTTTGAAGCATGGAAGGGTGATAAACCTTCTGTGAAGCATTTAAGAGAATTCGAATCTCACGGATTCATTCTGAATGAAGTTCCAAGCAAAGGAAAATTTGATCCACGTTCTAAGAAATGTATCTTTCTAGGATACTCGACGCAGTCCAAAGGATTTAGAATGTGGTTGCAGAAGAGAAGGAGAGTAGAGAATACCAGAGATGTAAGATTTATAGAGTCTACTGAATTAGTACGAGACATCGAGATATCAAGAATTTTGTTCTCCAGAGCTAATAGAAAGAAATGGTGAACACATAATCAGTGGCACAACCACACAGAAGGAAGGATACAATGTACAGTAATACCCCGACTTACGCTCTCCCGATTTACGCGAATTCGCACTTACGCCATACATTGTTTCCCCTCCTCTTCCATCTCTTACCTACCACTTGTATGTCACATAAGTATTTTTACAATTTAGTTTAATGAATAAAACAGTATTAATTAGCAATAAATTAGCATTTTATTTTTAGATCTGCTATCAAAGAACCGATTAGCTGAGATTAATATACAGTTGTATGGAAATTTGTACCCGACTTACGTTTTTTCGATTTACACCACCAATGCTAGACCCAGCCATGGCGTAACTTCGGGGTATTACTGTACATGAATCTGAAGATAAGGAAAAAAATCGGGATGACGCTGTTGCAAAAGAAATGACAAATGAGGATGGAGAGAATCAGGAAGTGCTGAGAAGAGCTGTAGGACGACCGAGAATAATAATGACTGAAAGAAACGACCCAAAAAGCCATACTATTACGTGACGAATGAGAGTGTTACCGAAAATGAACAAGCGAAATATGCGAATACGGTTCAGATTACTTTGGAAGCAGCACTGCCAGGCGAAGATTCGGAAGAGTGATACTTGGTCACTTGTTGATTGCTCGAACGACAGAAGAAATAAATACAGCGTGAATGAAGAAATTGGAAGAAGAAAGGCAGGCACATACGCTCCAATTGCATGAGTGAGCTCCATACGGTTAACTGTGGCGTTGGCTGTTACAACAGAGATAGAAGTCCTTCAGTTAGATCTAAATATTGCGTTTCTGAACAGCGAAATCAAAGAAGAAATACACATGAAGGTGCCTAATTTGCTAGGAGAAATGTTCTTTGAGAAGAGCTCATATGCACAAGAGAAAGCAATTTATCTAAAAATGCAAGAAATGCTGAAAAAGCTGAAGAAAGGTAAGTGAAAAATAAAAATTATAAATTTAAAACTGAAAGAAAAGTTTGAAGGTCTGTTATTAAAACCAGCAAGAGCTGACGCTTGTGTTTATTATAAACGCGTGGAAAACGACCTGTTGTTGGTAGTAGTCTATGTGGATGACCTGATTATTGAATCTCAAAACAACAAATGCATTGATGAATTCAAGGAAAAACCGTTACTTGAATTTGAAACAAAGACTTAGGAATAGTAAGTTATTGCCTGGGAATAGAGTTTAATCAAACTATGAATACAATAAGCATGTCTCAGAGAACTTACATTGAAGCAATATTAAGGCGCTTCAACATGGCAGAATGCAACCTGCGTAAACGCCTATCAGCGACAATGAGAAGCTGGTAAAGTTTTTGGATCCGGTCGACAAAGGAATTCCATATAGGGAATTAATAGCCGCCCTGATATACCTGGCAACCAGTACGAGGTCACATACAACGTTTGCGACTAGTTACTTAAGTTAATTTAATGACTGGTACGACAAAAGTCATTGGACAGTAGCAAAAAGGGCGCTGCGTTATCTAAGGAAAAGTATTAATCACGTATTAACATTTAACTTAGATAATGAAGATGTTACAGGTTACGTTGATGCTAACTGGGGGAGTTGCCTAGTCGACAGAAGATTGTACACTGAGTATGTCTACACTCTAAAGGGAACACCGGGAACCCTTACTCACGGATTTCAATGAAACTTTGTGGGTTTATAGAGTGATTCAAGGCAAGAATAACGGTATGCTTCATTCGTGCCCAATCGCCCGTTAAGGGTATGAAAACTAACCTCAAAGTGAGATCGGCACTCCCACTTTTTCGTGTATATCTCTTAAAGTACAAGAGATAGACAAAAATGTTTTAGGTAAAAGTTCAATGGCACAATGAGCGCTATAAACTTACATTAAGAAAATTTATAAAAAAGTCTTTCTTCTTGAAAAAAACAAAATTTTCTTGGGATATTTTAAAAAATTTTACATTTTTATAATAACTAAAAATATTACGTGTTTTATTCTGAATTCAACGGTGTATACTAATTTTATTATGCTACACCGACATAAGCAGATATACGACGAAACGTACACCGTGCGCGCGATTGCACGCTGACAACACATAGCAAGTTACATACCTATTCAGATTTCTTCTTCTCGTTGCTGTCCATAATATATGACGATAATGAGTATTTTAGCATAAAAATTGCAAAATATAAAATATTACATCAAGATTGATGACATATCACATACATTGCGCTATACTGCTTATACACATACATACATACATAAACGGTTGTTCCATACTTATTTAACATTTCTTCTGTTTTGAATAGGCGTATACATGTATTTCATTCAACATAGTTTTCGCAAATGTGATGTTCATCAAAAAAATGCTCTATACATAGATATTTTTTGCACCAAGCACATCTTATAATAGCAGGTTTATCACACAGATTACAATGTGGCAGGTTATATACTTCAGGAAACTTGAAACAGAAATCTATTGGATTTTCAAATTGCTGGTCTGACCTTTGTTCAAGGTATCCACTTTTGTATCAAGAGTATTTAAATAATTCCCGGAATCTCGGAGAAGACAACTGGTTGTGTGTGAGAGGTTGCAGTTTGATAATATTATTTCGCAGATGTAAATTTATATTAAGATCATATAGTAAGACCCGATCTGAAAAAGTTGTTACAAAATTTTTCCATACCCGAAAACCAAAAACATCCAGCGGTTGTATCAAACCTGTTGTTCCTTTCGGTATGGTTAACGCAATAAGATCTATGTCAGCCGGAATACTTTGCTGAAAAGAGGAAGGACAATGACCGCTCCACGAATCAAGTAATAAAACACTTTGAGATCCAGTCTTTGGTAAAAAGACTTCTGTTAGCCAAATGTTGAAATGGTGCGATGTCAGCTTTCCAGATTTTGAAGCAGTAACAAACACATTAGCCGATCTAAATAAGTTTTCTTGTACCCTGGGTACAAATTCTCCATTGGTTTCTTTTAACACCATAAATAGAGGTGACAATAACTGACCGCTCGCGGAAATCGTAGGGAGAATCGTATAACTATGTGTGGTTGAGGATACTGACTGCACGGATGCTTCTATGGTCTTAACACCACGATACGATAACGTACGACCAGAATGAATTTCTAAATTAAATCCGTTCTCATCAGCGTTATAAACATTATTTGGATTGTACATAGTAATGTATGGTTTTACCCGGTTTACGAATTCGGTGGAGGTCAGTTGTAAATGTTGCTTGTCTCGCTCAACAGCTCGAGTTTTATAACTTAAGTCTACGTTACCACTTTCACCTGGGATGCACATGTCATCAAATTCATTGCTAGTAAATTCTTCGTTTTCCTGGATATTGTCATCTTGAACAAATTCACATTCTTGAGGTCGCGTTAGATCTTCGTATTCCAGGGTCGTAACATAGTCGGTTGTAAATGAAACGTCATTCATACTATCAAGTATCATAGTATGTATAATTTCTGATAGTTCGACTTCCCTATGATTAACAGGAGATGGTGGTATACTGGATATATGTAGAGCTGTTACTAGTAAATTAATTACGTTTGCCGGATTTATGTTCACCATTTTATCGATAAGTAATGCTACGTGTAGTTGAAAGAGTACCAGTGAAATTGACAATGACTTACAATTAGTTGCGAAGATCGGGTATTTATAAGGAGACAGGAAGATAAGAAAAGATAGCAGTTTTTAAAGTTCACGGTAAAACACCGGGGTTACGCGATAGCGTTCGTGAAACTTACGATTAAATGATTAAAATGTATCTGATACAAAACAAGTACAGTTAAGATATTTAATACATTTTAATATCTTTGAATTATTATTGCGTTGGTTATCGTCATATATTATGGACAGCACGAAAAGAAGAAATCTGAATATGTAACTTGCTATGTGTTGTCAGCGTGCAATCGCGCGCACGGTGTACGTTGCGTCGTATATCTGCTTATGTCGGTGTAGCATAATAAAATTAGTATACACCGTTGAATTCAGAATAAAATACGTAATATTTTTAGTTATTATAAAAATGTAAAATTTTTTAAAATATCCCAAGAAAATTATATTTCTTTCAAGAAGAAAGACTTTTTTATAAATTTTCTTAATGTAAGTTTATAGCGCTCATTGTGCCATTGAACTTTTACCTAAAACATTTTTGTCTATCTCTTGTACTTTAAGAGATATACACGAAAAAGTGGGAGTGCCGATCTCACTTTGAGGTTAGTTTTCACACCCTTAACGGGCCATTGGGCACGAATGAAGCATACCGTTATTCTTGCCTTGAATCACTCTATAAACCCACAAAGTTTCATTGAAATCCGTGAGTAAGGGTTCGCGGTGTTCCTTGTAAGTGGCGATGCAATATGTTGGGAGGCAACTAAACAGCGCAGTGTGGTGCTTTCTACCCAGGTAGCACTGTACATCCTGAGGACGTCCGTTTCATGTCCAGTTTATACCCGAATGTCCTGCGTCCATTTTGGACATCCCTAGGACGTTCGTGAGACTTAAATTTCGGATGTTCATGAAACGTCCGTTCCAAAAGTCCTACGGATGTTCTCAAGACTTAAATTTTGGATGGTTTCGTTTAGTATTTTTGCCAATGTCATTCCGTGCAAGGTGATGGAACCTCATGAACGAGGTGTCACTCTTTAAAGAATCAATAAAGAAGTGTAACGACACTTGTGGTTTTGTGCGAAAACCTCAAGAAAGTTGAAAAAACATGTTTTTTCTTAAACTGTCTCTAACCAACACCGAATTAGAGTTTTGCTGTGAAAATAGAAATAAACACAATGTACTTGGAGATCTTAATCGCCAGACCTATATTTTCATTATAATTCCTTACAGGAAATTTAACCTTTTATTTATTAACAGGAACTAACTAGATCTAATTTCTACTAAATGCGGAAATCGCAGGAAAGTTCATCTTTTATTTGTTAAACACAAACTAACCTAACCTAACTCCTGCCACCTTGCACAGAATGAAACCTAACCGCAATTTTAAACATTTGGGAAACGTTTCTTATGTCTTTTAAGACATTACCATAGAGTTTTTAAAAACGTACAGGAATTGTTACCTTTACACATTCGGGAAACGTTCTGAGAATGTTGACACAGTCCGGAACGTACGTCCATGGGACGTACATAGGATGTTTTTGTGCTATTTGGGTACGGTAGAAGCCGAATTAGGGGATAAGTCTAGCTGCAAAGGATGCCATCTAAAAAGTTTCTTAAATGAACTGGGTTTCGACAAGTTTGATAGAATAAAATTATATAACGACAATCAAGGTGCTCAAAAATTGGCTCCGTTTCCAAGTTTTCATGCAAGGACTAAACACATAGATATCCGACATCATTTTATACGAGAAGTGTTGGTTGCTAGTGATACATTGGAATTAGAGTACATAGCCAGAGAAAACATGCCGGTTGGTGTACTAACAAAGTCTCTATCAAAAGGGAAGCACGAGCACTGCACGAGAAGTCTTGGACTGAGCAACACTTTGTTGAGGGGAAGTGTTGGTACGAATGTAAACGAAATGTAAAGTTGGCCATACTGCTGTCAATTAGTCAGCCGGGCCACCGGTCGATTTAGAATGCTCACCATCGTCCACTCTGTCATGTGTGGTCTGGTATGTACCACGCTAAAGCGAGAGTGTTGCATCCTGCAAAAAGTAACTTAGGCATTAGTATTTCTTATATATTTGTATCAGTATAGACAATAAGTAACAATATTTAAGACAAGTTCGTAACCGTTATAATTAACCAATAAGTGTAATACGTAATAATAAATTAAATATAACCATTAAGATTTCTCCTTCAGTTACTTTATGTACATGTATCTGCTGAATATCTATAAAAAGACATTTATCGCTATTCATTTTCAGAACAGCTTCTGACGAAGTTTGACACCATTGTGCTGGTCGATGTTGAATTTACCGGACAAGTAACACTGATTCCTCGTCTCAAGAGGTCGAGTCCTACAATTTCCAATCGTTATTTTTTCAAAATTTATGTAATATCCAAGTAACTTCTTTGTAAGTTTTCTTATAACGTCCTGTATGCCAAGTATAGGTAGTAGAAATACTTATGTTTCTTTAAAAAAAATACATTCTCTTTTAAAAGTAACAAACCAGCGTGTATAAGCGAAGCGTTCGATCCTGAATCGTATTTATACGGATTACAGGTCCAGCGACTATGTACTCGTAAGCGGGTAATTAAAATCGTGATAAATAGAATCCCCAACAGCGGTATCCCGCCCATTCCCCATTAAGCAAATTAACGGAGGGTAGCATTCGATTTAAATCCAACGAAGGCCGTTGATCATATTGATTTCGTGGATAGAAAATCGTTCGAGTTATCGCTGATAAAAATCAAGCAGCCACTGTCTGCCGTGAACATTTCTCGAACGTATTGCCTTCCACTTGTGGTGGTTTCGAGGTAAACATCGAACCCCGCGGATTTAATGGCCATCATTTACATCGCCGGTCGAGAGCTGAGTAATTAAACCGTCCAAACTCGTTTTATACCGTCGTCTCTATTCGATAGACCACGATGGTTTCAGGGGAAGAGTGTTTGGGTTTATGGGCGGATTGTGAAGGGATTAGTAAACCGAATCCTTTTAAACGCCGAGCCATTATCCAGGAAGGGACCCTTTTTGCGTTTTGATCGATTCTATTGGCCGTTGATTCACGGGAGGACAACTGATTTTTCGGTACCAAGAAGAAGACCCTTGAAATATTTGGCCTATCGTGTTCATTTAAAATTTACGCGTACATAGTGCGTAACATTTTACCCACAGAAACATATTATATATAATGTCGTGAGAAACACGAGATTATAGTTTTTGAGTTTCCATATATTCAACATAGTACATATAATACCCTTACCGAACTGTAATATAACAACTTGAGTGTAATAATTCTTTGAAGATTACGTTTTTTAACATTATATGTATTAATTAACAAAGAGTATGGATTTCTTTGAGTCAACCAAATATGAAAGCTATTCTTTGGCAATGTTTTGTGCGAAAATGATGAAGTAAATGGGAAATCTACTTAAAGACACTTATTGGACATATCTTCGGGTATGCGAAAAAATTTTTTATAGAACATAATGGCGCCACTGTTGCACCTTCTCGTAGATATTTTGCGACATGGTTAAACATTTCCTTTACTGTGGACATATTTATACAAAATGTTTTTTTACAAACAATATATTTTATTTCAAATATTCGCCATTTGTACGCAAAATCATATTTCTAAAAATCCCTACGTATTTCTTTAGTAAATTTCACATAGAACATGAAAATGTTTCCCTTTTTGTTCTAGGTCAAATCGGTTTCATTTAAATGCTGACTTAAAAACACTCCAACGTGGATCAGACCCAGTGTCGCTATTTCGTTCTAAAAAAAGTAAGAAAGAATTGTCTCGCGTACCTGCAGATATGTACAATAAATGTGTTTTAATACATTTTCCGTTTCCTTCATCATTTTCACAGAAAAAATTCCAAAAGAATAGCTTTCATTTATGGGCTCCAAAGTGGACTAACCGTTTAAACATTATTTCTTAGATATTAATAATTAGGCTGAGGATTTTCATGCAAAAGCCATGTTCTAAAGTAATTCATGGTGACAAGAGCAAATGCAGGGATTTCATTCTTCTCGTAAATATCATTCGGATCAGAATAAAACAGAAACTTGTTGCACATTGATGAAAGTTTTCTCTGTTACTGTACGCCACAGTGATCAACAAGATATAAATGTATGAAGTCCGCAGTCTATGAATAATCTTAATAAAATCTATACTCTTCATTAATTAATACAGAAAATTGTAAAGAAATTTCTCTTCAAAGTATTATCACGATCAATTTGTTTTTCCAATTTTCAAGTTCAGATCATAAGTTCGACATATTTGAATACACCACAACACGTGCTATATGGTGCAATAGAAACAAGTACATAGGAGCCGTCTGGCAAAAAAATACCGGTAAGCTAAGAAAAATTCAAAAAAGTGATCAGGAAAATATTCCATAAAAAATATTACAACATACGAACTGTCTTTGAAACATTTCCCATGTCATTAAAAATGAAGAAGATATTTAAATGTGCGATTTTAGCTGGGACAACTTGTATGTGTAGCTACATAAAAAAATTACAAAAAATTGCACCGTTACCTCGCAGCCAAAAAAGAGATGCGTAATACCTACACTCGGGCCTGTATCTAACTGCGCCACTTCATAAACAAGCACATACAATTCGATGCTCGACATTAAAACGTGTTATTCGTTCAAATCCATAAGGAAGACCACAGCACACAATAGAACAAGCACTAAATAAATTAACAGAAATTATACTAAAACTCACTACTATAGATAAATTAAATTGCTACCATAGAAAAATTCGAAAGCTATTTCACTTCGACTTGACGTGTTCGCGTTGACGCTTGTCACCGAACTGAGGTAACGTTACTCGAATCCCATGCAAAGCACAGAAAAGTAATAAAAATGTGTAAACAAGGAGTGGATTAGTGCTATATACCTATTTTTCAGAAGGGTCGCCAACATTTGTGACTGACTTG